GTAGTTTGGATTTGCCACGAGCGCAGTGGCACACAGTGTTCAAGGGGGGGGGGGGGTGGTGCCAACAGCAAGTTGCAGTGTCAACATGCCGGTATCGTACAGGCACGCCTAGACTGCATGTGATTTCAGGCTTCATATTTCAACACTTTGTATGAAGTAAGCGTAGTACTTCAAGTATAAAGTACCTTGAATAGTGACACAATTAAGTACCGGTAGTCGGGTACAGAAAACAGAGTGACTTGGGAGCAAGTAGTACTGATGTCATAGCAGGACAGCTGGAAAGTAGTAGTGATGTCATAGCAGTATAGCTGGAAAGTAGTACTGATGAGTGATGACATAGCCAATGCCCTGCTTGTAACTTTATAATAATCATAATACCGGTACTGTCTCTCTCCATGCTTCCAGGATGGTGGAAAGGGCGGAAATTGAAATGGAAAACAAATTGTGAACGGCCCTAGGTGAGAAAGAGAACATAACTTCTTGGTGATGGCCGTCGGAAACAATGCACATTGGCTATGAGAGTTGTCACTGATAGGACTGGAAGATTGAACAATGCAATGTCGTTATTTAACCACCCATGATAGAACACAGATTGGGCCGAGCTAGGACACTAGTGAATTTGCCACAAAAAAAACCCATAGCTATGTGAATAAAAATAATAATATCAAAGGCATGCCTGAAGTAGTCACGGTAGCTAAGTGGAATTTGCCATGTGACTAGCATTGATGGTGGGTATGCTACAATACACATACATGTAGAGTAGTGACAATACTAGCATTGAAACTGGAGGATGGGACGGTCAAGGGTGGACTGTGAGGAGACTAGCAACAGCAGTGAGGGTGCACACACGCACATGCACTGCCGACTTGACCTTTTACTGGCATTTCTTTGGTTCGTCCGGAATCAGAACGTTGGCTGGGGTGGTGCCAAGTAGCATGGAATGGCGCTCGTACGACTTTGATTTACGGAAGCGACTGTCCGTGCCATACAGAAAATCAAAGATCCCCAGCATGCCAAAGTTCTGGTTGAACCTGCGTAGCAGCAGCCAACACAAAACAAAAAATAATATCAGTTTTTTTACGAGGTACACAAACTCACCGCCAGGCACATGAGGCTAGCATGGAGTCACCAGTGAGACGGTGCTGGTAGGCCGGGCCTGCCAGGCTCAACTGACCAGAGGTCTCGGCATCATCGAATGGCAGACTCAACAAACTGAGGGCATTGTAGTGCATTGGATCAGAATCAGACAATACCTATAGGAACATTCATGGTCAGAAGAGACAACAACCATGACACTGGTATGCAAGTGAACTGCTGGAAGCAGGGAGTATTTCTTTTTCTGTTGTTGGGGGGGGGGGGGCAGGGACTGAGGGAGTAATATTCTTCTCTGTGCACGTAGTTTTTTATACATGCAGCCAGAAGTGTTTTTTTTGGGGGGGGGGAGTATTTCCTTTTAGGGGTACAGTGGGGGGGGGGGGGGGGGGGCTCAAGTCAGATTGTTGCGTTCACCGCCTCCCATGTATGTGCAAGGTATTGGTACTGTCACGTCCCAGAATAAGACAACTGCTGCCTGATAGTCCTGTGATAGCAGGATCTACATAGTGAGCAGCTCTGTGCTGAGCTGTCACGCCCTTTTAGTACAACATGGTTTGGCCAGTGTCTTGTCCCACGTGCTTAGCATGTAGGTTGAGCGACACGCGCTTTCCCACGTAGGTGACATGCCTTCTTGGCATGACACGTTATGGGATCCAAGGCCGGAACCTGGTCAGGTAGGTTCTCGCGTTGTACGTTTCCTGGAAGTTCTTCACTTCCTGGAAATGTGACTCCAGGCTTTGTGCAAAACCACGTCACTACGACGTTCTACAGGTTTCCACGATGCCTCGGCGCTTCGTGCAAAGAGCCAAGACTAATATGACATTGTAAAACAAGAGCTAAGTGCAAGACAGGAGACGTGTGCAAGAACCAAACCGTCACCGCGCAAGAGGTCAGAGTATCACGCAAGCAAGACCAAGAATGCAGCAGAACTTACCATAAGAAGCCGCTGAACTATGGCACGTTGGGTGAGCGGGCTCCCCAACGTGACCCTCATATACTCACATTGTACTCTGACGTGGGTGAGCGGGCTCCCCACGTCCCAATTTGGTCTTTCTTCTCTCGGTGTCTTTCTTTCTCTTTCTTCTCGAATGATCACCGTACGTATATTCTGCATTTCTGCTGACTGGCTGCGCACATTCCGGTTTGACTTGTTCTGCTATTTCCTGGAATTACCTCGCCATGATCACGCCATTATATCTCTGAAGCACCCTATAAAAGAAGCTCTCATTCTCTCTTTTACTTCAGTTCTAGTCTAGTCTAGTCTAGTCTAGTCTAGCAGTCGAGACTCGGTCTCAGCTCTCTGTCTTCGTTTACTTTGAGCTCGGATTTGATACTACTCACAACGTAAAACTAACAGTCTTTGGATGTTGATCGTGTGGGGTTGAACTTGGACCAAGCCAGCTATATTGGTTGGCCCCTGGGTTGTGTTGGGCTTGTCGTGAGGCCACACGTCTATATTCAGTCGCCGCTCGTAGTGATTTCGGGGTCCGGTCACTGTGAGCCGGGGATGCGACAGTACAGCTACCAATCAATGCAGAATGCACACACTACACTACTAACTTTGCATGATGGTAGTCGTGGTACTCGTTGGACGGCATGAACGGCAGGTGGAAGCCGCAGTGTGCGACGGATACGGAGGCCAGCGAGATACAGGCCCACAGCAGCAGCAGCATACAGTGAGAGCCGAGCAGGAGGGGACCAGCCATTACCGGCAATATGTTGGCGATGACATGCTCGGCCGGGTGACAGTACAGCCCAGAAATGCTGATTGGTGCGGTCCACTCGTGGTGGACCTTGTGGATGTGTTTGTACCACAAGGGAATGTGAAGTGCCCTAGAGAAACACAAAGCAAAAGGGAGAGGAAGAGGGAGAGAAACAAAGAGAGAGAGAGAGAGAGAGAGAGAGAGAGAGAGAGAGAGAGAGAGAGAGAGAGAGAGAGAGAGAGAGAGAGAGAGAGAGAGAGAGAGAGAGAGAGAGAGAGAGAGAGAGAGAGAGAGAGAGAAGGAGAGGGGGGAGAGAGGATGGAGAGGAGAGGGAGAGGGAGAGAGAGAAGGAGAGGGAGAGGGAGAGAGAGAGAGAGAACGTAGAACGTCAAACGACAACGACTGTGCAGATAATATTCCAGCATCCGGAGGCTCATGGGAAAGAGAGAAGACGGCAGAAACACTCTCCAACCCCCGACCTGTTCTTTCGGGAGTGCCCGGGCTCGATATTAGGCCCTCTGTTATTCATTTTATAATATCAATGATTTGCCTAGTGATGTACCTGATACTTCCTTGTATGCTGATGACACTGCACTCATGAAATTCGAAGCCTCACTTCAGCAACTTCACCTATCTCTACAGCTGGACATAGAAAAGGTCGCGTCCTGGATGCGTCGCTGGCACCTATCCCCCAATCTCAACAAAACCAAGGCCCTTATCATCGGCTGTGCGTCGGCAGATAACATTGCATTGTATTTCCCAGGATCTCCCCAGCCTATTGAGATGGTGAGTGGTCACAAACACCTAGGAGTAGTGATTGATTCTGCTCTTTCGTGGTCAGAACATATGATTTCTGTGCGTTGTCGTACCAGCTCTGCTCTTGGAGCCTTGCTCTCTCATTTTTCCATCTCCCAAACAGTTGCAAGATGCTATTCTACCGATGCTATATTCTGCCTTTATTCCCGTAACTATGCAGAAGACGTTACTTCAGTAATAGTCCATTGGCCAAATCTCAGAAAGGGCCTCTTTCGGCGAAGGTGATGCACTGAAGCTCCAACTAAACGCCCTTTGGCACACTAGCTCATGAGACCCCATAGAATACGAATCCGATTGTTGGACGTTGCCAATCCAGTCCAGGATAGTCGAACTGGGTCGAATACCTTCTTCCGATTTTCGTAATTTCGTCCACCATTACATCTTTCTCATCGACTTTTTTTCGCTTGGCGAATGTTCTTGAGCCGCTGAGCAGAATCTACGCACGCTCGAACACTTGAAATGCCTGCATGTTGACGGTTCGCAAGATTCTAGCGAGCTTGGTGGAAATCTATTATTTATTTTGACATTTTTGGGGGAATCTGAATTAGAACGGTAGAAGCTCTTGTGGAGAAGACGGCGTGTCGCCGCTGTCGGATTGTCGCTACTGTGTTTCAGACGTATTTGCTTGAACGTGCTATTGAGGATGGACAGAAGATGAAGTGACGGCTTTCTTGAACACGGACGTTGTGTCTACATTGTAGCTGAAACATCTCATCTGGCGTCTAGAACGCAATTATTATGAGTTGTGAGTGCCAGCTGAGCTGAACACAAGCTGGACACCATTCGTCAGCTGGGAACTTGCATCGAAGCTCTTGATAGCCACGATAAGCATAATTATACAGAGGTAACCTTGTTTGACTCAATACGCATGCAGGTGTCCGTGATACCACTAGTGGCACTACAATGTAAATGGTGCAAAATTGATGCAACAGCGAATATGTACTTCGTACAATCACGAACAATTGTAAGGCAAGTGTTCATGCCTGTCATAGAAGAATTTCAGCCTGGAACGGTCTTGTTGTCATGGTCATAAATAATACAGGACTTGAGTTGGCTCTGGACATAAACACAATTGTGGTGAATATGGTCATTATTGCGAGAAAAATATTTAGCCACTGTATGTTAACACCTGATGCCGCACTACACGCAATATTTCATGTACATGTATGTGAGACTCAATTGCATCCACAAGGCCGTAGATGCATGTAAGCACACAATGCTGTACAGTATAAGTAGTAGTCGACATGTGGTGCCTTCCTGCTGCACATGCACATGCGGCAAGTTGGCAACGACACATGACCTATCTGCACCGCACAGCGTGAGCTTAGAAAGGAATATTGCACACATAGTGCTATTTGTGTTCCGATATCGTTAAGCCGGTATACATGTACTAGTATCCATGTACCTGGTCACTCGATAGGCGATGCCGACTGTACTAATCTTATCCATATTACCCGATAGGCTATAGCACACTGCGTCAGATCACTATGCAACAAAACAAGAGCTTTGGAGCGAATATACACTGAAGCAAAGTAGGTTTCAACGGTACAGCACTAGTCACGACGAGGGGAGTTACGAGGATAGTTAGGCCGTGACACATAGATGATGATTGTTAATGATTCATGCACGGTGGAAAATTACCACCAATGGCGATGATATTGCTTTCACAACAATGACATCAGTAGGAGCAGTGACACAACCTTACTGCTCCAAGTAGGATTTACAAGCGAGTGAAGGGAGAGCAGACTGGTCTAATAGCAGACCGGGTCTAAGCAAGGAAGTAATCGGCATCAGAGGTGAGCTTGCACACCAGAAAACAGATGATGATCACCAAACACAGAGAATTTGGCTATGTGTATGTTTGTGTCACTGTGTGTGCATGTGTGTTTGTGTGTATGCGCGCACATCTGTGTGTCAGAGAAAGGCAGACAGACAGATAGCATATGGTGGGAGGGATCAAGGTCTGACCTCAGAGTTAAATGCTGACGGTGTGGAATAGCAACAGTGCGAAATCGGGCAGGGTGGTTAATGGCCCACACTGGAGCCGAGTAGGAGCGCCAGTGGTTGAGGGCTAGCACAGGAGTAGCAGCAGCTCCAGCCTAGGAAGATCAGCTTCTGGATGAAAATCTCCCGGACACAGTAGGTACCAAGCTTCACTAGCAGATTGCCGGCAGGGGTGCACGGCGAGCACCCGTACGTCCCTCAAGCCAACAGAGCCGCAGTACTTGGACACGATCCAGGTGCTTACCCGCCAACAATGCTGAGAAGGCACTGGAGCCATGCAGGATCTTATGATCGAGCATGACCACAGACTTGAAATACAGGGTCCGGCGTTGAATACTGAGACAGCGACGTCTCCTCCACAGAACACCACTCAGCCCCACCATTGCATTATTTTCGCTTTTTCATGATTTTTACAATTGTGTTAGAGCACACAGCACTCGATGCAACATTTACCAGTGACTAAATAACTCCGCGTCTCCGACCATAACTGCAGCGTTCCCGTGAGCCTGTTGGATTTCCGTCAGCCTGTTGAGATTATCTTCATCTCGTCACATGTGAGCCTGTGTGTTTCATCCGTATTGTGGCACAATTACACAGACACGATTTCCAACTCAGGCCGGTTCCGTTGCTCGAAGGGTTGGCGGTAAGAATTGCTACGCCGTCTGTGGCTGCATGGGAACTTGGCGAGTCGTCGTCTTTCTCCATAAATCCTGATCGTCACGCGAACAACAGCCACTATTGCCTAAAAACTACGACACAACAGTATCAAGCTCGCCCCAGCAGAAGGACACGAATGACGAGCGCTAAGACGGAGAAAGAGAGACAGGGTTAGCGAGAGCTGACTAGTGCAGGTACGCTGTCATCTCCTGAGGTGGTGGGCGAAGCAGCGAAGTGAAACGAAGGAAGATAGAACTAACGTTACTTATTAGAAGGCATACGGAGGCACCAAAACCTATTGCCTGTCACATACTAAGTGCCATTTAGGGTTGACAGCTGTCAGCTGACAGCCTCAAAAATTTGAAAATCTGCTCAAAAAACTCTCGATCAGAACTCTGCGCACTCTCAAATGGAGCGCACAGTAAAAAACTCGGCGACGAAGAACGCTTTGTATCGACGCCCTGGACTGAATTCGGCACGTCCAACAAACGGAATAGTGTTCTCTGATATATTCTCTACGTGCTGGGTATGGTCGCGTTTAGTTGGAAGCTCAGTGCATCACCACTTTCGATTTTGAGACTTGGCCGATGGACTATAACGTCTGGCGCTAGCCAGGGTCCACACAGCTTTAATTTGGTATTTGTTTGTTTGTGTGTTTGTGTCACGCCTGGCGCTATCCCGTATCTGTCCCGTACCGTACCGTACCATCGAACACAGCTGGCCACAATATTCAAATAGGGCTTTCAAATGCAAGATCATAACGTGAACTGAGCAACTTGGAAGAATGAATATGAAAGCGAAGTTTATTGGGGAATGCATGTAGGGCGATAGCGCAGGTTCGAATCCCAGGTTATGCCTAAAAAATTGGAGAATTGAAACATCCCTATGCTTTTTTTTGCCTAGGTCATCAAGGTGGTAGACGGTGTCGTATTACCCTCGACCGTATCTGTCCCGTCCCGTACCATCAAAGACGGCTGGCCAGAAACAGCTGGCCACGATATTCAAATAGGGCTTTCAAATGCAAGATCATAACGTGAAGCAACTTGGAAGAATTAGTATGTATGCGAAGTGTATCGGGTGATGCATGCAGGGCGATAGTGCGGGTTCGAATCCCAGGTTATGTCTGAAAAAAAATAGGAGAAATGAAAAATTTCACATTATTTTATGCTTTTTTTGCCTAGGTCATCAAGGCAAAAACGCATAGCGGCGTAGGGCCCTGAGCTTCCAAGCTCTCTCGTTTGATTACGCTGACATAGCATGGTGTGGTCTTAGTGCAGCTGCTGTTTCCAAGCTTGAAATTCACCATAGAAAAATAATTAAACGGCTATTTGGAAAATCCCTCTCATGCATACCAGTAAGCATATTATACTGTCTCGTAGCCTCCTCTCCACTTGCTGATAGACGCCAAGCACACCTGTGTGCACTCGTTCAGAAAATTATTTATCTTAAAAGCAAATCCCCAGGCACTTCAAGAAATATGATTGGTTCCAGCGAGAGAGAAATACAAGACACCAGGTATCATTACCTTCCCCTCAATTGTCCCTAATGATCAAATCACCTGTCTTTATGGCTTACACATTTTGCCTCAAACTCTCTTATAATATCCGCTGTTCACAGTCTCTCTCAGCTTTTAAGGATGCATTTCAGCTAAAATAGTACTGTATTGTGCTACCTGCTGTTGACACATGGTGTCACCTCCCTTCCCTTCCTTCTATTTTTAATGCTATTTTCCGTGGTTGGATTCACCCTCCCTTTCTTGTATTGGCTATGTACTATTATGTGCCATGAAGCGGAGACGATAAATTTAAATAAATAAATATCCGAGTAGTTGTATGCTGGCTGACCTGAAGCCCATGTACTCACAGCAATACGGGAACTACAGACTGTCAACACCTCAACAAATGGCGTTCAATACGCAATTCCACAATACAGGACAGGCGGAAACAGTCACGGTGTGATTGGTCCGGCCATACCTTGGGGTGTCATCGTTTGGCGAATCTGGATTGAGTGCGAGCAGGCGGTGTGGTCCGAGCAACGCTGGCCCAATCGAACAAAACAAGGGTGTAGTACGCAAAATGTACGCATATCGTACAAAGATTCTGTGAAAGCTGTCCAAAAACGGCAAAGTCCATTTCCACTCCAGCCACTCCCGGTGTTTTTTGGGGCCGGTGTGGTCGGATTCCACTCCAAGTACACCTGTCATGACCCGGACTCGACTCGTCGTGAAAGCGACCACGCAATGAGATTCAGCAGCCAAAAGCTGGGCTCCGAAATATTCTAGAGTTCTGTAAGAACCATGATTAGTCCTGCGAAGGATTTGGCACTTTCGTTAGTTGAGCAATCATGGCTTACAACTCGTGGCCTCGAGTCACAAGTGTTGTCGTACGGCGGCTACACCTTCAGTACAAGTCGTCAGCATTGTACTCACTACACTGTTGAGCTTGAGGGGACCCTGCTTAGTCCTGCAAGGGAGCTGATACCTTTGTTAGTTGAGCAAGCAAGGCCCCTCTTCTCGCGTCATACGACGTAAAGGGTCCTGCAAGTGCTTCGCGCACTGCGGACTCCGTTATCCCTTTTTTGGGAGAGGTCGCGGCTTGGCCGAGAACCGCCCTACGGGGTAATGAGAGGGAAGAGCCTACGGGGCAGAAGATGAAGGGTGACCCAATCAAGACAGCGTACAAAGGCGGCGCGCTCTAGCTGCAGCAACATCCGACAGCGTACTCCAGGCTCCGTCGCACGATCGACGTACGAATAACCTCGGAGATCACTCATATTTGTAACACTATCATGTAATGTGGGTGAGCGAGCTCCCCGAAGCTATACTAAATATTTCCTACTAATTATTATATCGCAATTATACTATAACAAAATCACATAAAAGCCGCCTTCTTCCAACGAATAAAAGTAGAGAGGTTAAGTTGCACGTTTTTTGCACTTTTTCAAAACGCGGTGCAAATCTCTCGTTACGTGCAATTTTTAGAGGTTAAGTTACACGTGCGACGTGACGTGAAATTTTGCCTGGCAGGATTCGGGTTTAGTTCGCACAAATATCAAAATTTCCAACAAACTCGATACAACTCGATAAAATTCCGGAAACTGACACAAATTCGATCGGGGTAACCAAGCGAAACTTCCAAAAACCCACGTCATGAACTTACGTGCGGGACAGTCAACTCACGTAAAACACGTCAAATTTTACGTGAGTTTTTTTACTTTTTGACGTAAAAGTGCACGGACGTAAGAATTTTACGTGAAACTTAACCTCTCTAGTATCTTTGGTCGCTCCCCTTCAACCTTCGACTACCTTGTGTGAGCCGGAAAACAGGTGAGCTACTTATCTGCTTGAGTCAACTATATTGGTTGACGACCTGGTGCCACTAGATGGATCACCGGCCATGACACACCTACTCCGGATTCGATCGGATTCGACCAAACGATCACGCTCACTCGGAGCACACTTGCTCGGGATTCGCCCAATCGATCATACCCCTAGTCTTTCATACAGTTTGTGTATGACATGGCAGAGGCACAGAACCTCCTCGGCAGTACTTGTGAACATGCGCTGGTGGCCAAGCAGTTAGTCCGGGCATGGCTTGACCAGCCACCCCCTAGCAGTGTTGCCATCCCGGCTGGTGTTAGGACTACTCATGCCCACAGTAATGGCACACCGCTGAGATATAGAAGACGGTCAAGACTAAAATACACACGTAAACAGACATGTTATCTCACCGGTGCAAGCATTGTTCGATCATGCGGGCTCGACAAAGTCATGACATGAACCCCACCTTATTTTCCTGTGAACACGCAAGGCAACTTCACCTCACTGCTGATCTCTCCTTACCGGTGCGAATAGAAGAAAATCACCTCAAAGATAAACATAGAGATTGCCAGCTCCACCAAGCACCACTGGAAGGATGGCAGGGTCTCGGCTAATAATCCGCCGCGCTTTTGGAAGATCCAGTAGAGTGCAAGTTGGCTGCTATAACCCACAGCCAACTGGTTTAAGAGGACAACCTTCAAACACTTCTTGAACGTCTGCCATTCCACCTGTATGGAATCACACACACAAAGACCGAGGATTAATAGAAGTTGAGCTAACAGGGTCCGACCTTGGACTACTGGTTTCAAATGCCACATACAGTTCAGGCCAGCAAAGTGCGACCACTGGCGCTCTTTCTCTGCCAGGCTCAAGCGGGCCTTAACAGCCGTTCGTAGCACCCTCGCTTCTCAGCCGTTCGTAGCGCCTTCGCTGCTGCTCAGTTCGTTAGCAAGTGATCAAATGTCCCTAGTCAGCACTAGCACTGGACATGAATCCAAAAATAACTAACATATTTGCCATTAAATAATCTACGTGGAGATAATAATTTTAATATAGCTACGAATAGTGTTAGGTACCTCCTCCCGTGCCTTTACTCACATTTTGTCTCCTTTTGTTCCGTTGGCCTGGGTAGCTACTTGCGCGCCCATAATTGCCATAGCTACCCAGGCCCTTTATCTTGCCGTTCAGACTTGATCTCTTTCTCTCTTCAATAAGCTCTCTTCAATAATCACCATGTAGTCGTTTCGTTCGTCCTGGTCTTAGTCATCCCGTCTCTAATAAATGCCGTTCCACCAACCTACCTGTTCCTGTTGTCAGTTGTCCTTTTTCGTATTCAACAACAGGATGAAGGCCGCAGACATTACGCAACTACGTTACTTGTTTGACATGTGCGCGTTATGTCCAACAGTTGAAAGTCCTTGAGGCAGTTTGTATACGTATTCATAAGCCTGTTTTGTGTAAGCAAAAAGAGCACGTTGTTGCACTGAAGTTGTATTCGTAGGTTGACACTTCGTTCAGTGCCTTCTCACCTTTGGTTACATAATCTTGTTACCTTTTTTCGTTTCCTCTAGTGGTGTTATTGCACTTGTATCTTGATGTTATTTCTAACACCTTTCTATTTACAGTACTTAACTTCAGTTTCTTTGGTTGTATCCTTAGTTCCGTATTTTTTCCCACTGATGATAGGAACAAGAAAATCGATTCTGGGTTTTCAATAATATTTTTGTTATAAAATACACAGCAATACATGTCAAACAAGTCACGTAGTTGCGTGATGTCTGCGGCCTTCATCCTATTCATAGCTATATATTTGCCATTACATGTATTACCAAGAGTACATAACCCCCAAGAGTGTGCAACTCCAGCTATGGGGTCTGCGACGGCAGAACTTCACATAATGTGATGAACCCGTCACATTATGTGCACTCTGTGCATGATTGATACAGGGTTGTACGCAACCCAGCTTTGGGTGCAACTCTCTTGTGGTCACTTTGCACTGTTTTCCGGTGTAACCTTTTTGAACCATGTCACGTGATGTGAAGTTCTGCCGTCGCAGCACTGCATAGAGGTTGTGCAGGCAGTTAAGTTGCACACTCTTGGGGGTTATATTGTACTCTTGGTGTTACACATTACGAAATCAAGCGGCGAAGGCGGGCTTTCCACGCAAAAGCAGCATGCGCAAACACCAACAGAAAGTACCCGTGACATACACGTAAGAATGTCCTACAGTACCAACATGCACGCATGCACATGCACACACGCACATGTACACACGCACATGCACACGCACACACATGCACACACACACACACACACACACACACACACATACACACACACACACACACACACACACACACACACACATGCACATACACACATGTGCGTGCTCATACACACATGCACATACACACATGTGCGCGCTCATACACACACGCACACACACACGCACACACACACGCACACACGTACGCACATGCGCGCGCTCATACACACACGCACACACACACACACACACACACACACACACACACACACACTGTCACTACCGGGCGGCACACCGAAAAGAACGTCTGGCGCATAGAATAGCATAACTGACCACAGCTGGCTTCTTTTTAGGCTGGATACGATATTGCAAGATGCTCGAAGGGGTTCCAGTCAGCTCCACGAAGATGAAGAATGCATTGAACAACCAGTAGAAGGCGACCATGGAACTCCATAGAACTGCAACACACACCCGATAGCACCAAACACAGTCACCATTACTTGCACAATGGTTTTTAAAACAGATCCAATACCACAACGGTTACACAACCATTTTCACATTCACTGCATAAGCCCATACTGCTCATGTGTAAATTACGCTGTGTGTAGCCGCGAGCTGCTACATTCCCACGCTACTCGTGATCAGTATTATTCTAGCTATATAACTGGTTGTTTTAGTGATCCTTACCATGTGACGATGTTCCACTTGTGATAGTCACGAGAAAACGTCCAAGTCTAATTACTAAGTACTTGAGCAGGTATTGAGCAGGTATTGAGCAGGTATACCTTCTTTTTTTGCCTGGACTGACTAATTGATGTCATAACACTGTTCCCGCTTTTGCCAGTAGGACTGAGCTCAGCTGAACCATACTGGAAGAGATATCTCAGTACCGGCTGCATCAGTCAGAAAGCGACCGAGAAAAAGCTGTCATGCTGAATCGACTAGAACCGCCGTCATAAAACTAGCCACCATACAGGGAAATACATTCTTTGTCTAGATTTATTTGTCCGTGCACCCCGACCTTCATCACACACAACAGCATGCGGGGTGTGCAGGCTTACTGCACAAGAAGAATCGACGCTGAATCGACTAGAACCGCCGTCATAAAACTAGCCACCATACAGGGAAATACATTTCAAAGTAAAGTCCTCCTCTACACCATGGTTAGGAGAGTGTAACTGGCTGCAGTACAGTTCAGTATAAAGTACACTACTCCAGACCTGCCAAAGGTCATTTTTCTCTTAGGGCCTTCAAAAAGGGTGTTATTGCACTGTCATGTTAATTTATGGTGAAAAGGGAGAAGGACAAAATGTTATTATGTTATCACGTTTATTTATTTTTGATACATGTATCATTGGGTCAGAATGGGAATATGCCCGCAACGTTATAGCCAGAACAAAAGTGATGGGGGGGAGGGGGGATCATTATAGGACCCAACATTTTGTGGTTTCACCGCCATTTTGTGTCGTCATTTTGGCCGCTGCTTTCACCAACACCAGTAAGCAACCGACCATTCCATGTATTTATTCACCGGCCACTGGAACCCGCCATTGATAATCATTATGGTTGTCAGAGGTAAGTGATGACTATGATACAATGACTCATACAATGACTCATACAATGACTCATACAATGACTCATGCAATGACTCATACAATGACTCATACAATGACTCATACAATGACTCATACAATGACTCATGCAATGACTCATGCAATGACTCATACAGTGACTCATGCAATGACTCATGCAATGACTCATGCAATGACTCATACAGTGACTCATGCAATGACTCATGCAATGACTCATGCAATGACTCATACAGTGACTCATGCAATGACTCATGCAATGACTCATGCAATGACTCATACAATGCTGTGCTACTACCGTAAAGTACCACCAGAGCGCCCCACCATCTCATCCTTTCGTGGTCGTATTGTGGAGGTGGTCTGCTGTCTGTAGGTCATACGATATGAACCTTGTACACATATAGCACGTTTTGCAGTCAATCCGTACCTTCGAGCGGACACAAGGTCCACACAAAAACCTGCCAAGTGTGACCTTAGTACACTAAGCTTCTTACATCGTACAAACTTCGTTGCACTCTGCCATACGATTTTCCTTTCTCTGGCTGTAAAATCAAGGTGGGGCGCTCTCGCGAGACGGGGCGCTCTGGCGGTACTTTACGGTACATGTACAGTGAAGCCTCGTTAAGAAGAACACTGATAAAACAAACTTTCGCTTTAAAAGAAGAACTAGTATTTGTAACTCTATTGGATAAATCACGGTGTATTCACTGGGTATAAGACAGTGTCTGCTCCAGCGCCGGGTGAGCCGGGTAATCCACCCGGTTGGGCGGCGCTTGGACCCGGTTGAAAATATAGTACCGGGTCACCTGTGACCCGGTTGGTACTTTACACTTTCGAACTTTGCAAGGACTGACGACATGGCTTGTATGTGTCAGATACTTCTTCTTCTTTCGTAATTTTCTAATTCCTGTCCTCTCTTTTCTAAATGCGGCTTATCCATTTGCCTTTATATCATTGGGCATGTGTACCCGGTTCGACCCGGTTGAAATGGTTGCGCCAGTTACACGTGTACCGGCTGTCCTACAATCCTAGAGCAGACACTGATAAGATAAGGATAAGAAGAACTCCCGTTATTGCGAACAAATCCCGTCGGTCCCTTGGTGTTCGTCCTAAAGAGGTTTGACTATATATGTATGTGATGTGTCCTCATCATGCATATAAGAAGGTGGGGTGCTCGCTCTCTGAAGTGAAGGGTGGTGCATTCATTTTGAAAGGGGGCGGTCCAAAAGTGAAGGAGGGCGCAGCGCCCCGCTATGTCGCTTTGGCGAGCACCCTGGCCCGTCGTGTTCTTAAAAACCCACTCACGGCTAGATAGAAGGAACTCGTTGCCTCCCGCCACATCGTGATAGAGCTGGTTCCATCTGTGCTGCCAGAACTGACTCGATGCATCCCAGAGTTCTGTCAGGTGCCTGCGGAAAACAGACACAAAACACATGGTACGCGGTGCATGATAAGACAACGGACTCCATCAAAGTGTCATGATCACAGAGCCCCTGGGTGAGCTGCAAACATCAGTGTTTCGATTTCCATGTTTCATGATACCGGGATAGTCTACTGTGAGACCAGAACTAGTGGAGGGTAACAGACAGGGGGCTGGGGGGGGGGGGGGAGGGGGGGGGGGTACACAAACGAAGGCAGACAGAAAGGACTAGTAGGAGTTCGTAGGGGGAGCCTACACAGAGACTAATAAAGCAGACTTCTAAAGTACTAGCTCGTTCTCCTGCTTTTTCTTGCTTTCATATAAAAACACTATAGACTCCGGTGTTTTCTTCTCTGCCTGACCCGCATTAGCAATGTTGATACGGAGACCCTTGGTTGGTTTAGCTGCTTCTGCCCCGCCTCCACTGCTTCGCCTGCCATCGCTGTGTGCCTCCCTGTGATTTCCAGCGGGAGCTGGCGTTTGCACCATGATGGTTTCTCGTGACGTCTTGTGTCCTACTACAACCGCGAACCTTTAATTATCACATTGGAGAGTACGTGTTAGAGCTAGGTGTCAGATCCCTGAGCGTCTCCTGAGCAGTCTGCTGGATAAGGGCCTAGGGTGCAGTCACGCTGCACCCCCTCCCCCAAAAGTAAGGGGCGCTCGTTTTCGATCTCCAAGTACGTGGCGGTAGACACCTTTCAAGTCAGTAGATCATGCCGGTTCTTTTCTACCGTGAACGATTAGTAGCGGTAGATTCTACTTTTCTCTCACGACATATCGACGCGACACGGGAAATGAGTGCTATCACGACACAGACCACCAAAACTAGGCTAGCCCCACTATCGCCATCACCAAAACTTGAAGATGACGCTCGCCCATAGCATTATTATGCGGGAGAGAAATGAGTTGAAATAATTTAAAAAAAAACCAGAATACCGGTACCTGATCATTACGGACTAACTCAGCTAGCAACAGGTGCTTACCGATGCAGAGAATTCTGAATGGCAGCCCAGTGATAAAGAGACTGGAGGTCCCGAAGACGACCACCGTGCCGCTGTCAAGACTGACATGATCTCCCTAACCGAACTGATGCTCATGCCGCGCTGTTCTCCAAATCGCTCTCCCACCGACACACCGAGCAAGAAGCCGAAACGGCCAAAGCCCAATGATTGCGGAAAGCCAACCATGTACCACAGAGACAGCAATCAAAATCTCGACGCTCCAAAGCGGTCTCGCTGCCTAAAAACCCAGCCGCTGTTTCTACTTCGAGTGTGCTACTTTGCAGCCAGTCCGATCGTGAATTTCTGTCAGACCGTCGACGATGCATTGCAACAGAGGAAAGGAGTTTTTTTAGTTTGTCAGCACGTCGCGTCGCCGACTATGCCGGACGTAGATCTACGTGTCGGCCTGTCCGTTCACACACGTGCACACCTGCTGAGCGGAAATGAGATTTTCGAGTGTACGAGAGTCTAGAGTAGACATCGGACCGACTCCATACCGAAAGAAGGACTTTTTTTAAATTGTTGTTCATCCTCGGCCCCTCAGGCCTCAGCCTCAGGCTTTTAGAATGATTGCTTTCATGGTTGTAACCTCATCGGCTCAACGCTGTCCCCGAACGAAACCTGCAAGCCGTCAAAGTTGTGCAAGAGACCAATGATGGCCTTTCAGCTCCACAACTAACTAACTCCAAGGGAAATGTCGGAGTGGGTGGGACATACAATCATGTACATGTACAATCAGTCACACACACACAACAGAGGCGAACGGAGCATTAAGGGCGCGTTCGAATTGTCACTCTTGGACTTTTCGAGGAGTTTCGTTTTTCTGAAGAGGTGGCCTTCTTGGCCTCTTCAGAAAACCAAGCTCATCGAAACTCCACAACCTCATCCGATGGGAGAGGTGGATTGGTTCCGAAGAGTTTGGAATAGCTACGTCACGTAGGACGTGGAGATGGTCGATCTGATCGGATGTCATCATCGCCATGACCATTCCACTGAAAAACTCTAAAATGATAGAAACCGTTCTAATGCCGTAATGGGACACTCAACTAATCTCTTTTAAAAATTTGTTCGAACAGTTGATGGAGACAATTCGAACGCTCCCTAAAACTATCGAATCCTCGACCAGCAGGCCTGGCACAGTACAGCTACTGGTAGCAGTGGCAGTGCATGCTACCCATGCACAGTACAGCTACTGGTAGCAGTGGCAGTGCATGCTACCCATGCACAGTACAGCTACTGGTAGCAGTGGCAGTGCATGCTACCCATGCACAGTACAGCTACTGGTAGCAGTGACAGTGCACGCTGCCCATGCACAGTACAGCTACTGGTAGCAGTGGCAGTGCATGCTGCCCATGCACAGTACAGCTACTGATAGCAGTGGCAGTGCATGCTACCCATGCACAGTACAGCTACTGGTAGCAGTGGCAGTGCATGCTGCCCATGCACAGTACAGCTACCAGTAGCAGTGGCAGTGCATGCTGTCCATGCACAGTACAGCTACTGGTAGCAGTGGCAGTGCATGCTATCCATGCACAGTACAGCTACCGGTGGCAGTGGCAGTGTATGCTACCCATGCACAGTACAGCTACTGGTAGCAGTGGCAGTGCATGCTACCCATGCACAGTACAGCTACTGGTAGCAGTGGCAGTGCATGCTGTCCATGCACAGTACAGCTACCGGTAGCAGTGGCAGTGCATGCTACCCATGCACAGTACAGCTACCGGTAGCAGTGGCAGTGCATGCTACCCATGCACAGTACAGCTACTGGTAGCAGTGGCAGTGTATGCTGCCCATGCACAGTACAGCTACCGGTAGCAGTGGCAGTGCATGCTACCCATGCACAGTACAGCTACTGGTAGCAGTGGCAGTGCATGCTGCCCATGCACAGTACAGCTCAAGTCAGATTTTTGCGTTCACCGCCTCCCATGTATGTGCAAGGTATTAGTACAGCTACCAATCAATGCAGAATGCACACACTACACTACTAACTTTGCATGATGGTAGTCGTCGTACTCGTTGGGCGGCATGAACGGCAGGTGGAAGCCGCAGTGTTCGACGGACACGGTCGGAGGCCAGCGAGATGCAGGCCCACAAGAGCAGCAGCATACAGTGAGAGCCGAGCAGGACGGGACCAGCCAATACCGGCAATATGTTGGAGAGGAAATGCTCGACCGGGTGACAGTACAGACTAGAGATGCTGATCGGCGCGGTCCACTCATGGTGAAACTTGTGGTTGTGTTTATACCACAAGGGAATGTGAAGTGCCCTAGACAAACGCAAAGCAAAAAGGGAGAGAGAGAGAGAGAGAGAGAGAGAGATAGAGGGAGAGAGGGTGAGAATGTGTGTGTGTGTGTGTGTGAGAGAGAGAGAGAGAGAGAGAGAGAGAGAGAGAGCGGCTTTCCTACTTCAGATTTTATTTCCGTGAGCGGCAACCCTGAAATACTGAAAAATTCGAATGTGAAATGCAACCCCCACCAAATTCTTGCAGGGATAGCATTCTTCTCACAATGTAGCGGACATTATGCGTGGACTGTTAGGCACGAAACGGATTTTGCAACCAACACAGGCCATTTTGTAGTCCACAATCACCATCACTGCATCAATCACATTCCACGGCCACCCTCCAAACTTTCTCCGGAAATTTAACCCTTTCCCACATTCTCCTTCCGTGTTTGTGAAGATAACCTGACTCAACTACATGTAGATGTGTAGATGTAAAAGTTCCGTGCTTATTTAGACAGTCACACCACTCACTGCATGAATCAACCGTACACGCTGCCCCTTCTCTGTTCTGGACCAGGCCATTCAGTGGTGACAACAATCATGTCTTCTAGCTTGGCATTGGCCACCTGTCCGTGCTTCCATCATCATTATCATCACTCATAGCTGGAACGATTCAGGATACGGAGCGATGATGAGCTCGTCAGGCAAGCTGGCCTTGATGATGCTGTCTTTGTACGGCTGCCGGGTTAGGTTGGAGGATGTTTGGGGATGTCCAGTTATGGGTATGGGGCTTTTGGGGGGCGCTGAAGTCAACGGCGCTGTTTTGGGTCGCGCTCATGTGGGGGCATACCAGGTTGGAGATATCGGCCGTTCCCTTCACCAACACCGTCGTTACCAGTTCATTGTTGTGAGCCTCTACTCGTAACGAACACTGTTCTGGCCAGTCACTCACAGAGTCACACTCACACTATCCCGGTATGTTCCAGTGCGCACGGCACAGATGTGATGACTTTGTTGCCAGCCATCAGTCTGCCACCCATCTCCGCCATCACCGGTGCCATCATCATCGGTAGGTCAGCCAATTGCAAACCTACCTCCAGTTGACCAAGGCGGCCATAGCAGAAAGCCTCGGAGTGGATGTTGAACATCCACACACGTCTGGATTCGTTTGAATGGGTTTTCCAAGTTGCCAATCGGTGCTTGGTTTGGCTCACCCCCAGCCAGCCAATGTACTTCGGACTTCGTCGGGTCATGACCTGTACTTGCATCCACGATCATCCGAAACTCGCCACCACCAACGACCGCAACAGCCTCCTTCACCGGTTGCTCGGTGAAAATGGGCGACACTGAAGCAAAAGCGAGAAAAGCGATCACAACTACCAGTAGATCTACCAGGGAGTCGTCAAATAAGTAATTGACGACTCCCTGACAACTAGTGCACGTACTTGTGCCAAGTACCATTGCCATGCCGACCCTCCACCAAATTAATGATTTTTAAAAATCATTTGTAAATGTCTCGTCTTCCATGACGTAGATCTACTCTGTCCAAGGGACGAAGCGCATGCCCGCGTGACACTGATACAGTACAGACATGTACAGACTCAGTCATACCAGTACTAGTAGTAGTAGCAACGACTCCGAGTCTTGAAAGGGTTGAGTTATCGGTTATCATCAGATCATGACATGGTTATACCAGGGGGTCCTGGTTTTCACCACTCCCCGCTATGTAGACTCTACAATACATCTACCGGTTCTCGGTACCCGATCATCATCATTTTTTCTTGGCGCATTTTCTCTGTCGGACGGTTGTTGCAGTGCTGGTGATTTGTGGGGGTCGTGTAGTTGTGTGCGGTGTTCTCCATTGTTCACTGTGGACAGAACGATTCATGCCAGCCGGCGTGGAC